ACGCAGAGCTTTATTTTCTATATTCACAAAATACTTACGTTTAGATCAAGCATTTCTGTTGATTAATTTAAGTATACTCTGAAGTGCATACACATCATTCTGCTCGTAGTAGCGGCATTTTAATTTCCTCAGCTTTCTTTTAAAAGTATTTTGGTCCCTATTAGCATTATAAGCCACACGGCTGATAACTGGAGCAGTGCAGTCAAGACAATATATCACGTCGTGGTATAGATTGAAAAGCGCAATGTCAACATTATTTGTGGTAAAATAAGTTTCCCATGGTAAACATTGAATGAGAGTTCCAGTCCGTTTCCATGTTTGTTGATCAAAATGTCTGCTTTGGTACATCAATGAAGCTTTAGAGTTCAATTTTATGGCGTTAAAAGAGTGAATAATACTCAATACAACTCTATGGTCACTCATAAAAAACTCATGACTGGTATGTACTGAGATAGAGTCTATGTTGATTGTGAACATTAAATCAAGTGTATTATTCCCCCTGGTTGGTTTTCGGACCTGTTGAACCCATCTACAAATTTCTAATGTTTCAACTAGCTTGTTATATCGACCTAGTACCGGAGTCAAGCCCCATGTAATTTTTGGCAGATTAAAATCACCTCCGATGATTTTAAAAGTATGCGGTTGGTGCGAAGCAATGGAAAAGATGTTTGTTAGTAATTTGTCAAAATTAGTATCCGCATGAGATGGTCTATATATGCATCCCACAAGTAAATAATTTTGGGATCCACAGTTTACAGTCACCCAAGTGGAGTCGTATTTAGCATCAAGGGATTTATCCTCAAATTTGCACGCTTGAATGTCTGAACGGACATAGATAATTGAATCGCCTCCTAATCCATAACATCTATCGGTTCTAAAGAAAACGTAGTTATCAACATTGAAGGAATGATCGGATATAGATGAATTACACCACGTTTCCGTAATAAGTACAATGGTTGGATTTACAAGGAATAAACGAGTTTTAAGATGAATAATTTTATTAGACAGAGAGCGGGCATTGAACGAAAGAATAAGAAACTCAGAGTCATCATAGTGAAGCAGGTTAGAGTATAAATCGCAATTGGTAGTTCCATGAATACTCATAGGATTAGCTAAGGTAAAAGTCGTGTTACGAGGGGAAATGGATTCAACCACTTTGTCATCATGTGAAATGTTTTTACCGTTGCCGGCAGGAAACCCGTCGGAATTACAAAAACGTCTTCTCATTGCTATTGGATATAACATCTGATAAGGGCATACTGTACATGTTGGGAGCCGGACCAAGAAGGCTATCAGGTCTATGGTTGTGACCAAGTGACCAATTACAATTCAGATAACTATTTATACCTGACGTATGGGTAACGTGTTTAAGACGTTTATTTCCAAGGTTTGTGGTTGGTTTCGGCTCCTTCATAAGTTGGAGAGGATTGTGTACTGTTAAACATACTTGCGATGGTTTGCGAGGTTCGAATATATCAACGTTAAGTGCGTGGTCAGTTATATGAATGTTATGATTAGTTTTCTTGTTACCCGTTGCACAGTTACTGTAACTGGGTGTTGCACTAACAGGGGTTTGGATTGTGTTATCCCATTCTTCATCAGCACAACTACTTCGGGTTGAATCTAAGTCAACATTCTTAAGAGGATGGACACCACCTACATCGGGATTACTTTCTTCTGGGTTTTGTTAAGCTAGACGTCCTCTTAGAATCAGACTTAACTTTACAACCATTAGGATTATGATGCGTTTGAGAGTTTGACGCTGATGGTGTGTTTTTCGCTGGCATGGTGTTTTATCCGGAAGAGTCTTAATATCCTTGAAAATCTGTTTTTGTCTCAATGAATTGGAGGAATTTAAAAACTCACTGGCGTCTACAGATGAGTTGAATTTGAACAAGATCGGTGAGTGATTACCAGGATGAATTCTTTTTAATCTTGTGCATACACATGGTACGTGTGTCATATTGCTGGCTCTAAGCAGACTAGATTTGATATTTTTAAGGGCATGTGTATCCGGTATATTAAACACAATTGCATTGCTAGATCGTCTTATTCTTTCAAATACCTCTGATGCAACACGATCTAGGAAAATATTTATGTCATTCATTTGACCTGGAGTCTCTGTGAGGCTGGGGTTGATGAGATATTTCAGCGGATTGAGAATGTTCATGTCGACTTGCAACTTTTTATAGCATCCATATGGTTGCAGTTGCGATTATCATCACTGTTTACCAGCAGAGTTTTCAACATGTCTGGAATGACGACAACTGGTAAAAGCTTGTCTGCTTCCGGATGAACGGAGTGGCTCGTCTCGTTGAAACTGTTGGAAATCGTGTCAGTAGTGGCGTTAAATTGTGTCGTTTTCCTACGTTTGGCTGGACGCCTAGGAGCTGGGGTCTTCATTTTCTTTTGTGGCATGATAAGAAAGTGACGTATAGCAAGTGGTTTGAACAGAATGTTGGAAATAGGGGTGAAAAAATCAATTCCGAGGGCTCAAGTTAGTCTAAAAATCAAAATCTATGTTTTAACCAAGAGTGAATGTATCGTGAGGATTAGTGGTGTTAAAATCAAAAGATGACAATGGCAGGAAGATAGTAGTGGAGATGAGGTATTTATGTCATTATCTGTGTGGAGGCAAAATAGAATATAAAGGAGCAAGTTGTATAAATTTTAACATATATGACACGAAAGATAGCCTTATATAGTAAAGTAATTTAGAAATGTCGTTAATTAGTATCAAACAATCAAAAAAGTACAGTAAGTGATACATATATAAACTGAAAGTCCGTATTATTAAAAATTGGGAGGTGCAGAGATAAGTAGTTTAGAAGATTATTACCGTCTAAGATTATTATGTTGCTTCTTGAACAGATATATGAAACAGCTTATTGGAAAAAAAACTATGACAGACTCACCGAATTGGACAGGTAATTTCGGAAATGAAATAATTTATAGTATCCAAATACGATTTAAATGATAGTTCATGAAATAGTGAATACAGTCCTTTAAAATACACGGTTATATATATTTCTTGATATTAGGTAGAGGTTTGAATAGATCCTGTAGATACATAATGTACGTGGGTTAAAGCATTCAAATACGATATAACCATATATTCCTTAAGAAATAGAATACAGATATGAAATGCAAATCTTCGTCAAATATGATTTTATATACATTAAGCTAGTATTAGACCATTCTGTAGCCTGTGGTAAGATGACGGAAATATGTTGAGGCGTTTCAGTCTGTCTTTGTAAAACAAGCCAGGGTAACGTATTTGGATGCTCTTGCTTGAAAAGTACAATAATCAAAGAGAACTGGACTATGTAGTCGTACCTTGACTACTCCACAACAAATGACTCAACTTCAATGGGTATGAACATGGTCTGCTCCGCCTCTCTTCCTTTCTGTTTCTTACCCTCCTTTTCAGCCCCCTTGATATATACCACCGAAAACACATGTGAAACGCGTTACTTCGTCCTGCGCCATCGTTAATGCTTCAGCTGTTCCAGAAGGATATAAGATCGCAATTTCTAGAAGTTCTCGACTGTACGTGGATTTATTCTCGACCATCAGTTGCACGTCGCAACGCAAAATCCACAAAGCGCGCCAATCGTCATATTTACGAGTCTAATTAATATTATTTACATTCATATGTGAGAAGAATTATACCACTTTATAGTGAGACTTAGTTTTTGTTCAGTTTATGAAACAGAACAGTTGGGAGGTTATCTTTTTCGAACACACATAGTCTTTCGACATTCAACATAAAATAATAGGAAGTATAATCCCTACACAAAAGAAGGAAGTGAGTGAATACTTGTGCTGTAATGTTCTGACATTTCTAAGATATTTGGGTCCAACTATTAACCAACCGACCTAGGTTGTTCCAGATCTTAGATCGTGGTTTACTATCATATTCAGATTCTCGTGAAACATCTAATGTTACCAACGTCAGACACGTGCAGTAGCAATTTATCTTCGCATCTTCGGTGTACACATAAACACACTTAGTTGCTTTGATAGACACCAACCACCTTTCAGACCAGCCTACCGGATAGTCTTTGTTGGCCTGGAGTGTACATACATCTGCGTACCTCGTTACTCCTTGCCAAATTTCAACATCATCAGCACAACACAGCACCAGGGACTTAACCATACTCGGGAGTTCCTTTAAACATGGTGTAAAAGGTAAATGACCTAGAACATAGCCTATTGATACTCTACCAAGTACTGCATTCCAATGTGAGGGTTTGGCATTCATTTTTACTTCATGTTTACGACCTGCCGAAAACTCTCCTATCCAATTTAGATTTCTTCCGTCGCATAATGTTCATTCAGTCTCAAACAAAAGATGCTTGATATGAACCAAGATGTTTGAGTTCGAATGCATGCTGTAGTAAAGCATGTTCTAATGCCGTCATCAGGAGTCTACTATGAAAAGAGTTTTCAGATCTTACGATGACCCTATCTGTCCAACTAATATCAGGAGCATTAAAATATCCCAATATCAGGCATCTGTTGTTTTTAATCTATTGCTCAACGTGCTCTGAGAAAAAGTCATCGGGTAAGCAGATTGAAATCTCTTTTCGAAACTACAAGCACTTTTATATAAGACTTCTAGAGAGAATGACATACCCACCCTAGTTTAGCTAGTTCCGTCTTTTTTATTCTGTCTGCCAGAGACATGTCGATCATCCTCAATTGTCGATGTTTTTGTGAATCCGAGCCCTAATATACAAAAGACGTCGTTGTTCCTCTAACCCTAGGATTATCTTGAGGAGTCTATATGGTCGAAGTCCAACATTGTCGTTGGTCCCTATACACTCTATTAATCGTCACTACCATTGGTATCCAGTTGTATTTCTCTTATGCTACATTTTTATATTTGTGAGTATTGAATTAGTGATGTAAGCAAAATAAAAGAGAGCTGCGATTGGTCGCCATAAACAACTCAGCCTTAGTTCCAAGGAAATTATTTTGATGCGGATGAAAGTCCCAGTTAAGCCTAAAGAGCGCGTTACATGGAGTGTGCGTAACTTGACACGTTTGCAAATGGTTAACGAGAAGGCGTTTAATGTTCAGTCTGCTTATTCAGATCTCAACAAGGCTTGTAGTGCTCAAGCGTACGATAAGATTATAAATATCTCTGGGAAAAGTGAGTTTTTGTTTAGCAATACCTTGCTTAGTCTTACTACAGAAATGTTTGCACTTCACTCTGGTTTTTATTATTCCAGAGAAAATTGTAGTGCAAGTGAATCTCCAACATTCTCACCCTAGAATACTTTTTAGCTGTCATTTTTTATTAGGTCAACTGTTTATCATTATTTAAGGGGTATTTTTGGAGTGGTAGTACTTAGATATAGATTCTCAGTGAACAAGTTCCGAGAATAAACTAACATTAGTTATTTCTGAAGATTTCTACTCTCTAAATGTTCAATTTCAAATTTTGACTGTGCGCTTGGAAGCATTCTACTGGACTTAATCATACCATTTGCTGTACACGTGCAGTGAAATGATTTCTTGTACATGGGCTTCGATTGAGACCTTAGTATCAATATAACCCTAGTGGGATGTTTTGGATTCCACGTTAAGCATAAAATTTGGTCTACATTTCAATAATTAAGCACTTACGTGGTATTTTCCTTGTAGTTCTTACAAAGTATCCTGGTGAGACTAAAGCTTTCCTGTGCAAGGTTGTTGCCCTTATTCGAACCGAGAAATACGAAGATTGTTTGAGTTTCTTGAAAAGAAACCCAACACTATCTAGGTATGTAAAACTGTCCAGCACTGTTTCATTTATTTCAGTCATGTCATCTTTGAGAAAGCTTACGTTGAATATAGACTTAATCGTCTCACTGAAGCCGCAAAAACTCTTGAATCAGCCGAGGCAAACGATCCAAAAGCTCAGGAACTAAAAGCGCAAGTGGTACGTATTCTTTTTTGCTTCAATCTTCACTTTCTCTAGTTGTACAGGAAAGGTGATTTTACTGCTGCATACGCCTACCTACGGTCAGTGATTCGAAATTCTCAAGTTAGTAATACACCTAATTCGTTATTCTCTTCTAGGATGATTATAGTGAAGAACGGCTCGCGAATCTAACGGCGGTGGCTGCTGCTGAATCATGCTTTAATAACACTAATCTGGTAAGGATAGATTTTTTATAATCGTTATTTTTTAAAGGACCTAGATGTTAACCCCCAAATGTATGAAGGAAAGTTTAATCTGGCATGTTATCATCTTGGACGTGGTGACTGTCATCTGGCATCCAGATTGTTAGATGATGCTGAAAGTATGATACTTAACTGTTTTTAACTAATGGCCATAGATACTTGTAATCTGTGTCTCTCTGAAGACCCGGAATTAACTGAAGAGGAGAAGAATGAAGAGTTAGCTCCTATAAGGTACAAATATCAAGATAATCTTTTTACTTCTGTTTGAAGTCTTTCTTAAGATAGGTAAATCCACTTTGTTGCTTTATTTTATGAAATCCTGGGAAATGAGACTTTTCGGCTGAACTATATTTAGCAAAAAAGTTAGAAAAGTGAAACGAATTTTAAAATAAGACACTTCTTCAACGTCTTGTAGTACTAATGTGGAAAACCATATTTCGTCCTCAGTTTAGAAGCAGTGTTTGATCCCGTCAATTAGGTGGTGCTTCAAAGAGCATTCTTTGTTCAAATTGTCAGTATAGGTTAGTCAAATTTACTCCTGTTTATTCAAATTCGAGGGTGTTGGGTGAATTATGTCTCACAAAGAGGATCATACCATATCCGACGAGGGAAAATCATCTATCTTAAGTGGAATTCTGCTCCTAGAGACGTTATCAGATATGGCTCAGAATAGAAGCCAGTGGCGATCCTGCTGTAACCTTCTTTTACTTTCTTCATAAAAAGTGGTTGTGTCTCCTTTACCTGAAAGATTTCTTCTGATTGTACCTTTTCGTTCCGTCGTTACTACCACACTACCTTACTCCAATCTCTTCGTCATTGTTCTGTTTTTCTTTTGCGCTCCTTAGTTTTTTTTCTATTTCTCTTCGAATTCTCATTGTTTTGTGTGGCGCATATATATTGGCGCTCTCTTGTACCAATATTCATGTGTTCAAATAATAAAATAGTCGGATTAAAATATAAGACCTCTTGTAGATGTGCTGCTATTCATGCTGCCACAATTCTCTCCGAAATTCCAAAAAATAAACAAGTGAAAAAGCTGAAGTGATAAGACTAGTGGAGTCCTAAAGTATGTAAAGAACGGATTCCTTGTGGGGATTAAACTAGGATGATGTTTATTAAAGGTTTAGAAAAATGGATGTATCTGCGCTACTGTGGTTGATTTTTACCCATATCACTTAAAGGTTGCAATCACAGTTATTAATCGTTATCCACTCCCAACATTAAATCACACTTCAGGATATGAAAGGCTAGACAACCCAACTTTACATATTGTAGACAGCATAATTTGATATTGTTACTCCATAGTTTTTTCGGATCGTAATGTTTAGTAAGAAATAATGACAGATAGTTTATCTACAAAATGTATTGGTTGTAAGAATTCACTACTTAAGATGATTTTCTCCATGAATATTCCTTTTTACAAATGTTTTGACGCTCCCAACTTAGTGTTATAACTTTTAGTTAATGATACTTATAAAACGTATATCCATTATTTTTATTCTTCAAGATCATAAGTAAGGCAGGATTAGTCTTCAACGCACATTTTTATTTTCAGAGTTCAGCGAGCTTATATTTTGCAGATCAATAAGGAAGAAGAAGAAGCGAACCAGGTGTATCAATCAGTCATTCGACAAAGGTAATGTGGTTATTTTAAATTTGTTATTACTTCATGCCTTTTAAACTAAGGATGTTGTCAATCAAGAAATAATATTTCTAAAACATTTGTTGATGACGGGTTGCATAATTTATGTAATAAACGTACTAATTTATATTGAGGAGTTTCGTACCTCTAAGAGCCAACCATTTTGATTTTGTCAACCCTACTTCATCATAAGAAATCTTGTTAATGATCTAGTTCACATCAACGATATGAAGTTATATTAATAATTGTTCCTTTGTGCGTAAACTCACAATGTGCAGATTTCTGATGGGACTTACCTTATGGCAATGAATTGTGTACCACTAACCAGTCAGTCATCAGTGTGAAGCCTGCGACAAATGTGAGCTGACTTGAATTTCCATTCCACGTTAGCACTGTAGGATGGAATCAAAAAGATAAGTAGTCCAGGATCCGGAATAGTATAATTAAAGTGATAATCAGAAAGATAAAGTGTTTAAAATGTAGTTTGGGAAAATGGAATAAAATGATGTATATGAAAGAATACTGGAAATCAAGATCTATACTAAGATATTTAGTGAATACATCTCTATTGTTGACGATTGTGAGCCATTTAATCGAAAAATCTCCAAGCACTAGTCTCAGTTGTCTCGCAAACCTTAAGTAGGTATATATCTGTTAACAAGGCCTTACAGCCAGTGACTTAATAAATTGATGCTATGTTCTGCTTCGACCATCCATGGCTTTTTTCAAATCGACCCCCACATCGGTCAACATCACCTGTCATACGTTATACATTTCCCAATCGCCTAAGACGATAAATATTCACAATCTCAAGTTTTACGTCCAAACTTAGTATTGCTCATTTGATCGATACGCGGTAAATGCCCAGAAGACCTTTTTGATCAAAAACCTGCAAAGTAAGCATATCTCTCGTTTTCATAGACCATGTTTCACATCAGTAAAGTAATAGGGAGGATTGCTGTGCAGTATATTTACCCATTGGTCGGTGGATGAACATCTTGCCTACAGCACATATGATGCAAGCTGATAGAAGACAGTTGAGCTTCTTTAATCCTTGCTGAAACTCCATCGAACACCAACCAATCAGGGCTAATGAGACTTCCAAGATAAGTGAAGTGGTCGACACATCCAACTGCTTCACTCGCTATTATCAATTCAGACGTCGACTCAGATAAGTTTTTGAGCAACATGTTGGATTTAAAAGGAGAGAAATACATCTGAAACATGCTTGTATTACTGAAGGTTATTAGGAGGATACATTTTGTTATCGTCTTCACCAATCAAAACTATGCCGTCTACTTCCTCCTTATGGACTAGCGAACTTCCTATTAGGGTATCACTTCCTGAAAGGTTAGATGAATAAAGGATGATTTCTATGTGGGGCATCGATGACGCGATTAAATAAAAGGGGATAGTACAGAACCCTTAGGAAAACCACTTGAACTTGATAATTCCAATGACATCTAGCCGTAATCGGTGACTTGACCAATGTTGTTTGGGTGGGAATAAAAATCAGATTAATTGTCTGACTCCAGTTTGACTGGATCACCATGATGTTAACGAAATGTATTCCGCTTTACCTCTAATATATCGATCGACTTAATTCTCGTTACTGAATAACGGAATAAAACTAGCCAAATAAGAGGATGGTTTCTGGTTAAATATTTTCATACTTCCGTTAATGCGGACAAATGGTAAGAGAAAAGCTTACCAGAGTAAGTAAACATCCCAAGTCGACTTAATGAAGCATGACCCAATATTTGTAGTTAGATAAAAATCAGATGTGCGACGAAGAGTACGTAATGAGTACACACGCATACACGATCATATAAGTTACTAGCGAATAACTAACAGGGTCCTATATATGTGTGGATAATGACTATAAAGAATCGGTTAATTGGTCTGTCCAAAAGCTATGTGGGTGGTTGTTACTTTCCAGCTGACCACTCGTAGAGAGATACTCCTAAAGGTACTTGAAAATGAGACTAGAATAGTAGTAATTTTTTCAACCTGTGAGCATGACCGTATAACTTCTTGTGGCTGGCCACACATAGCCTTTCTGTCGGTGGTTCTCCATGTTCTGGCTCTATACTTTTAAAACATTTTTGCCGGGGATGGGAATCTATGGGCCAAAGTTAAATATGTTATTTTTGGTGGCGATCTTTTTATGGGGAGAGAACGTTCTTGTAGATGCTAGTTATATGAGAGAAATAACCTACTGCTGTCTTGTTTTAGTACAGTTAGTAACAAGTCTTTAGGTTGTTGCTTTTAGTCTTTCTGTTCTCCGACCGACCTGCCTAGCAATATAGGGCCTAAAGAAGCAAAAAGGCTATGTGTGGCCAGCCACAAGAAGTTATTCCTCGGGTTATACGGTCATGCTCACAGGTTGAAAAAATTACTACTAGTCTAGTTTCATTTTCAAGTACCTTTAGGAGTATCTCTCTACGAGTGGTCAGCTGGAAAGTGATAACCACCCACATACCTTTAAAAGAACTCGAGATTACCTTGTTTGCGATTTAATCTCTCTCGCTTCACAATAGTCATACTGTCTTTACTACCAACCCCTTTGCGAAGACTTCATATTTAACCCTACGCTATATCAATACTAATGGCTTAAGTGAACGAAGTACTGTTTCTGATCTTTTGAAACTGCATTTTAAACCGCATGTTGGGACTTTTAACGTTTTAACCTTATGTTAACTCTGAAAACATACTTTATTAGCTAGGACTCCAGAATTTCGTCCGGCTAACAAGTGCTACATCTCCGAAACTTGAATACAGGGTACACTTATGGTCACTTAGCCTAACTTAGTCAATATGATAAACTGTCGCGATTTACCCGCCGTCTACCTAAGGTCTAGACTGCTACTTCTCGTGGCCTTGCTGATGTAGGTATAACACTAAGTTCAAATTCACAACATGATCTCTTGAACTAAGTTTCGAAGGACAGTTGCTTTCGCACTGCCCGATGAAATTGGACAGCAAGAACTCGGTAAGATGTGGACACATCCTGTTTACTTTTCGTTATCTCTGCCTAAAATCTAACTAACGGCGATACTGAGGAATCAAAATGAGTTTTACAAGACGCTTTTGATCCACCTTTAAAAGGCTAGACCCTCAGATGCAGCTATTGTAGGCGATTTTAATGTCCACGTAGGTAGTCCAAACTTAAGTGAACGACACTTGGGTGAGTCTTATGGTGTCCCAACTCGACGATAACGGCGACTGTTTACTGCAATGACGTTCAGATAACCGATTTTTTAATAAGTAATGACTTAAAGCATAAAAGAGACATTATCCGACATGGAGAGCCACGACATCAACCCAACGATGGATGAGAATAGACACTATCCCTGTCATCCAGTGTTGAAAAATCTTGGCAGAGGACCATCGCCCTTTCTGTTTAGACTTTGATCATGCTCTAGTGAGATAACTTGTTTAATTGCGTCTTGAAAGATGCAGAAAATTCATAACTAGAAGAATCCTTAGAGTTTACCACGCGGACAAGAAATATTATATTTCTTGTCCGCGTCATTTTAATTGACTAGTCCTACTACAACGTCAAGGTAGCAGCTGCGGTCGTGATTTGAGGATGCAAATTTGGGTTAATAAGTTTGAAAATGGGTTGTTTACTGTATGTTTAAAATTGTCATTTGTTTCATGATAATGATAAGTTCATGGTTCACGCATAATTACGGCTAAATGACGTATAATCTTACTTACTGTTTAGGAATTGATATAGTGCCTCACAACTTTGTTACGTATACTCTTGTACTGTAATTCCTTGTTACTCGAACTTTATATATGAGTTCCCGATATCTGAAAACACTAAGAGCGAACAATAACAGCACAAAACCTGAAAAATTGGTACATATTATTCAAAATTGCTTAACAAATGATGTAGGATGTATATGCTTCATAAGCATTTAATAGATGTTGAGTTTTTCTAGGCACATGTTGACTTTTGATCTTCACTGGTTCATACTGCATCCATTTCAACTAATAATTTTGAATACTTTATTATTTTGGTATACAATCATACCTCCGTCACGTATTTTCCTTTACTTTCTGTATATTTTGAACCAGAGCTTCAGATACTGCTCTTCTAGCAGTGGCTGCTAACAATATTGTCTGTATCAATCAAGATCAAAATATATTCGACAGCCGTAAACGTATTAAGATGGCTTCTACAGATGGTTTACAATTTAAGCTTTTTTCTCGCCAACGTACTGATATGCTTATCAACCAAGCTTTGTTTTACTGGTACACGAACCAAGTAAGTTTTCGGTTGAATAAGTACATTTGTAGACTTTTAAAACAACTCCGACGCGTTTTTTCTTTCACATTTTCTGATTCGTCCAGAACCTTTGGCTTTTCTGGATGGTAAGCAATATTGCATATTTTAACTGTCCAGACTACGGAAAACATTGAGGACCAATGAAAAAATTTTGCATTTGTGGTTTGAATTTTCCGTCAAATATGATAGATAATTAAAAATAGTGATTCAGCCCGACCGAAGCTGCTAGCTTGACGCGGTGGTCGGGCTTGCCTATCGTGATGACCCAACCGAGCTATATTGGCTGGAACATATGTTCCTGTAGGTTCTACCATGCCAGGCAGGTCGATTGGAGAACGATAAGACTAAAAGCAGCAACTCAAGGTCTGAGAGCGAAGTCGTACTGCTGACTGTAGAGGGGTGTGACAGCAGTAAGGTGTTTCCCTCGGACAACCAGCATCTGCAGCGATGCTGCCTTCTCACAAGAAGGGGTGGGGTTAGAAAAGGTCGACATCGAAAATGTCACACCTCATCTTACCTCACGGATTTCCGTCTCCGGTGGTAAGGCCCTTTGAAGGATGGAGCTAACACATTAAAAACCTTCCACGGAAAGGCCGTGCGCGACCGGCCTCAAGCAGTTGTCCCTTGGGCTCTGCGGTCACGCTCCCAGGTCGTTAAGACCAACACTAATCCAATTTCTTTTTCAGGTTCCTCAAGAAATACCCTTCCACGGTATGGGCAGCCTGGAAGTGATATCAGCCCTCATACCCGTAACAGCACACGAGACCAAGTTAGTCACATTCAAATCCTTCTTACACCTCCTAATACCTCTATTATCACCATGACTAACCCTCCTCACGTCTCTTTATCACCTCGCGCCGCTAGGGCAAACGATTCGAGTATGCGGAACGCCATTCCTGGTCTCCTGAAACCACGCTCTAAACTACACGTAGGAGCTTTTAACGTCCGAACACTGTGCCAAATAGGACAGCAGGCTTCCTTAGCTAAGACTTTAGAATCCCGCGCCATCGATGTGTGCTGCGTCTCCGAAACGCGCATACAGGATCCCAGTAGCGTCATTCATTTGACCTCACCATGCCAAAGAGCCGACTCGGTTCACACTTCGTGTATCTGGAAGCCCTGATTCTGCTTCCCGTGGCCTCGCTGGCGTAGGTATAGCATTGAGTCCTAGGGCAGAACTAGCTCTCGTAGAGTGGATCCCAGTAGACAGTCATTTGCGTGCTGTCCGACTGAACGGAACAGTAAGGATCCCAAAAGATAGGGACACTCGTCGTTGCCTCTTCGTCGTCTCTGCCTATCCTGCCATTGACTGCAGCGCAGATGATGTAAAAGATGAGTTTTACAGAAAGCTCTCCGACCTTCTCCGAAAAGCTAAGCGCTCGGATGTAGTAATAGTGGCCGGTGACTTTAATGCTCAAGTAGGTAAACTAAGCTATAGGGAAAGACACCTGGGTGGATCTTATGGTGTTGTGGCTCAAAGAACAGGTAATGGCGACCGTCTGTTGCAGCTATGCTCAGATAACCGCCTGTTCCTTGCAAATACTAACTTTAAGCATAAGGAAAAACATGTTTTGACATGGCGACCCCCTAATTCGTCCCAACGTTCGAGCCAAATGGATCACATCGCTATCAGCCACCGATGGAGGGGCTCGATAGAAGACTGTCGCTCATTCTGGAGCACATGCTTAGATTCAGATCATGCTCTAGTACGAGCGCGTATTTGCTCGCGTCTTACTGGACGTAGGAAAGACGCTGCAAGGAAACCTCTTAGGGTCCTACTTAATGATAGTCAAGCTAAGAGTATATTTCAGGAACAACTAGGAAAACAGTTAGGCAGCCATGTATGTGATTCCCACCCCGAGGCAGCATGGAACGATATCCGAAAAGCTGTGGAAACAGCAGTGATATCTGCTAGTACGGTAAACCAGAAGGTTAGGGAGAAACACTGGATCTCAGCAGCATCTATCGCACTGATAGATGCTCGAAAACTCATTCCACCTGGCTCTGAACATAATGAAGAGCGGAGTCAGCTTAAGCACAAGCTGAAAAGAAGTCTACGCGATGATCGTGAACAGTGGTGGGTAGCGAAAGCAAGAGAGATGGAAAATGCAGCGGCAATAGGTAATAGCAGACAATTGTTCAGACTTGTTAAGGAAACCGGTATTAGGAAACCGACTGTTAGCGAAACACTCTCAGAGAAAGATGGACATATTATACATTCTCAATCCAGGAGATTGGATCGATGGGCAGAACACTTTAGGGATCAGTTCAACTGGCCTTCAGCCACACTTCAGTTTCCCACGATCTCTAGTCAACCTGAATGGCAAGTTGATGCAGGTCCTCCGTTTCTTTATGAAGTTGAAAAAGCCATAGGAAATCTGAAGCGAGAAATAGCAGCAGCCCCTGACAGGTTTACTCCTGAGGTTTTTAAGGACGGCAGTCCAGTATTGGCAGTGAGATTGACTGAGGTCTTAGGTAGAATCTGGGAACTGGACGTAATCCCGTCTGACTGGTCTCAATCACTGATTGTGCCAGTCTATAAGAAAGGACGAAAGTCCTCTTGTGACAATTACAGAGGAGTCAGTTTGACTAATATAGTGTCTAAAATATTAGCTTCAATAATACTTCGACGCCTAACTAAAACTCGTTAAGAGCAGACTAGAGAAAACCAGGCCGGTTTTCGACCTGGACGTGGTTGTATAGATCAGATATTCACACTACGTCAGGTTCTAGAACACAGACACACATTCAGACGCCCCACAATGGTAGTATTTCTCGACCTTAAGGCGGCATTCGACTCTATTGATCGTGAGGTTCTATGGCAGTGTTTGTCACTGAAAGGAGTACCAAAGAAGTACATTAACCTTATAAAGGCTCTCTACTCGAACACAACTGGTAGAGTGAGAGCTTATGGCGAACTGTCATCAGAATTGATTACCTCAAGTGGTGTTCGTCAGGGCTGTACACTTTCCCCATTCTTGTTCAACTTTGTGGTCGACGTACTTTTATAGATAACATTTTCCTCATCTAAATTTCCAGGAGTTGTACTTTTGCCTGGAGATTCACTTGTTGACTTGGAATATGCTGATGACATAGTTCTATTTGGTGAGGACGCTGACAAAATACAGAGTCTTCTGATCACTCTAAGCAACAAGGCAAGCATGTTCGAGATGCGATTCTCCCCCTCGAAATGCAAAATGTTGCTTCAGGATTGGGTTGCATCGACACCTGAACTATTGATAGGGAGTGAAGTAGTTGAGCGTGTCGACCACTTCCCTTATCTTGGGAGTCCCGTCAGCCCTTGTGGTCTGGTGTGTGACGAAATCTCAGCACGGATACAGAAGGCTCGACTAGCTTTTACCAACTTGCGTCATTTATGGTGTAAGCGAGATATCCGTCTATCAACCAAAGGACGTGTTTACTGTGCAGCAGTTCGTTCCGTCCTACTTTATGGCAGTGAAACATGGTCGGTAAGAGTAGAGGATATCCGTAGGTTACTAGTACTCGATCATAGGTGTCTTCGAAATATTGTTCGTATATCCTGGGACCATCGAGTAAGTAATGTAGTTGTTAGGAAACGGGTACTAGGTAAGGATGGCAAATCAATTGATGACGTAGTGAAACTTCATCAGTTGAGATGGCTGGGATATGTGTTACGTATGTTCAACCACCGACTGTCCCGACGAGCGATGTTTTATGGTGTAGGAATAGGTTGAAAGAAATCTAGGGGCGGTCAGACCAAAACATGGCACAAATCCATGAAGTCACTGACAAGTGGACTGAACCGTGTTGGTAGTTGTAGACTACTTGGTTGGGATACGCGAGACGATAGCAACCGATGGTTAGAGACCTTGAATGACATGGCTCAAAATTGTCTGTAATGGCGCAAGTGCATCCACTCTTTGTGTTCTCCCAAATTCTAATCTTCTGAATTCTTCATGTCCCTTTCTCTTTTCTCTTTCCAAATTTATTTCACTGAATTATACTCCTTGAATAACATCTTCAAACCCTGATCTTTCCAATGACGGCTTAAACTTTTACTACCTCTACCACTATGGGATTTGAATAGACAATCGTGTCTCTGTGCTAATATGGTATGGTAACTTGAACTGATGTACGTACGTACGAAGTTCTACTTTCTTACCGACTGACTGATTCAGCCTTCTGGGAAGAAACTAAGTAGAGCATGAGTTCATTTACTTTCGAAATCCCGTATTATTTCGTAGTTACTATATTGACTTGGTGATTCTCAATTCCTATTACGGTAAACTAGTTTATTTATTTTAGCTAAATATTTGATACCCAGAATTTATGATAAAGCTGTGAAACCCTAATCTGCTAATGTGGTGATGGTAGACTATGCAATAAATGTAATTATAAGGGAGTCTGCCGACTGTTTTTTGTCCCAGGATGCAGTACCAACAAAGTGTTTGTGATATGTGACCACTATTTTTTTTTAGAAATTTTACCCCATACTCAAAGGAAGTTGTGCTATTAAATCTGTTTGCAGAAATATATCTGTTGAGTTCATGCATTTATGTAATACAAATGTAGTCGTGAAACCTGTTTTAAAATAAGCTGCCAGTGGTTTTTATTTATAGTGTTTTCCACTGTCTTCTATTACAAAAGTTGAATAATCACTGGCAGATTTTCATTAAAAAACAGCCTGTCTCAAAAACTCAAGTGTTAGTGTTATTGTTCCCCCCCATATACCCTGGTACAACTAAGGGTGGGTAGAGTCCGTTCTCCCTCTCGAAATGTTCTCACATGGCCACGCGTATACAGCTACTGTCAGGGAAGTCCTACTCACTGCTTTCTTGTGGCGGGGGTGTTGTTTACGAAATCGAGAGGGTGGAAAATAACTAGGTTGGTGGATATGGAGGATCCATCTAGGTGAGTTGGAAAACTCTGATTCCAAACCAATGGTGTCCATGGGCTCTAGGATCCTGAGGGAACAAATGGCATATGAGCCTATTGTTGGTCACCGGCTACCATGGGACTGAATCTCCTGACGTTTCTCCACTGCTTTGTGGATCACACCTTTAGGTCAAAGGCTCCGGGTGTGACCCCATAAGAAAACCACCTGCTTCGATCTGTGTACCCGGGTAGTATGACAGCCTCCACACAAATCAGGCGACTTGTATAGCGCATATGTATCTGGTGCTAGTTCGTGCCAATATTTATGTGTTCAAATAAATAAATAATAGGTAAGTTATTTGGGCTAATTTAAATTCTATAACTAGACACCAGATGCATAATCATATACTGGAGTTTAAGCAAAACTTCATATTAAGGCTAGTGGTAGTACCTTGGGACCTAAACCGAAGTATTTGCAGTAGGGTTCGAACAAAAACCCCGTCGTTTCATTGTTGAATGTTTAACCACCTAACTCTCTCTTCAATTCGTATTATTCCTCTTATGTCGACTTTCAACTCTCAACTTGCTCTTTTGACTTCCTTCTTAAGTGTCACCATGGCTAACGATTCTAGTACGCAAAACACTGTCCCAGGTCTACTGAAACCTCGCTCCAAACTACACATTGGAGTCTTCAACCTACGCACCCTATGCCAAATCGGCCAGCAGGCCTCCTTGGCTAAAACCCTAGAATCTCGAACGATTGATGTATGCTGTGTCTATAAAACACGCATACAGGATTCACTTGACCTCACCTCGGCAAAACGGAGAGCCGACGAGATACACCCTCCGTGTATCTGACGACCCAATGACTGGTCCTCGTGGACTGGCAGGTGTAGGTATAGCACTAAGTTCGGGGGTAAAACAAGCACTATTAGAATGGATCCCGGTTAACAGTCGCCTATGTACTGTTCGGCTAAACGGCTCTGTAACAACTCGGAAGGATAGGGACACACGTCGTTGCCTTTTTGTCGTTTCTGCCTACGCTCCCATGGACTGCAGCCTAGATGAAGTGAAAGATGACTTGTACAGAAAGCTTTCGAAACTTTTTCATAAAGTTAAACACTCAGATAGGTAGCTTAAACCGAGCAGTAGGACATTTCAGTCAGTCAGTTGGTAAGAAAGTAGAACTTCGTACGTACGTACATCAGTTCAAGTTACCATACCATATTAGCACAGAGACACGATTGTCTATTCAAATCCCATAGTGGTAGAGGTAGTAAAAGTTTAAGCCGTCATTGGAAAGATCAGGGTTTGAAGATGTTATTCAAGGAGTATAATTCAGTGAAATAAATTTGGAAAGAGAAAAGAGAAAGGGACATGAAGAATTCAGAAGATTAGAATTTGGGAGAACACAAAGAGTGGATGCACTTGCGCCATTACAGACAATTTTGAGTCATATCATTCGAGGTCTCTAACCATCAGTTGCTATCATCACGATAGGCAAGCCCGATTACCACGTCAAGGTAGCAGCTACGGTTGAGAGAAGGGCATTTATGTATGTATTTTTGTGTTCCGGCTCAATGAACAGGTAATGGTGATCGTCTGCTGCAACTGTTCTCAGACAATCGTTTATTGTTAGCAAACACAAATTTTAAGCATAAGGAGAGACATCGTCTAACATGGCGACCCCCTACACCAAACCAACGATGGACTCAAATAGACCATATTGCCATCAGTCATCGTTGGAGAGGGTCGGTAGAAGATTGTCGCTCATTCTGGAGTACCTGCTTGGACTCCGACCACGCCCTAATACGGGCACGCATCTGCTTGCGCCTCACTGGACGCAAAAAAGCCACATTAAAAAGACCCATTAGAACTGAGTTGAGTAACGAGAAAACCAAAAGTAGGTTCCAGGAACAACTGAGGTCACACTTATGTAGTTCTGAAAACGAGGCTGATCCAGATGTTGCTTGGAACGATATACGAACAACTGTGGAAACAGTAGTGACATCTGTTACTGATTTAAACCAAGAGGTTACAAAAAACCAATGGATTTCTTCAATGTATATTGCACTGATGGATTCTTGTAAACCCATCCCATCAGGTTCTGAACACGATGAAGAGCGAAAACAAATCAAATCTAGGTTAAGCAAAAGTCTAAGAAACGACCGTGAGCAGTGGTGGGCAACGAAAGCAAAAGAAATTGAAAAGGCGGCGGCTATAGGGAACACAAGACAGCTCTACAGACTAATAAAAGAAACTAGACTTAAGAAGTCAAATGTGAGACAATCTCGGAAAAAGACTACAACAACTTTTATCCCAGACGTTTAGAACGATGGGTGGAACACTTTGAGGAGCAGTTCATCTGGCATTCAGCTACTCTACAACTACTCACCATTCCAAAACAGCCTGAACAGGACATTGAAGTAGGTCCCCCGACTCTAATTGAAGTTAAAAAAGCTATAGCTAATCTGAATTGACGAAGAGCAACTGCCCAGATGGTTTGGCTCTAGATATCTGTAAGTATGATAGTCTTGTTTTAGCGATTAGGTTGACTAATTTTTTAGTTAAAATCTGGGAGTTGGACGTTATTCCATATGACTGGTCGCAATCACTTATCGTCCCAATATATAAGAAAGGGTCAAAATCATCCTGTGACAACCATAGAGGGATTAGTTTAACTAATATAATATCTAAAATACTAGCCTCGATAATTATCAGACGCTTAACTAAGATTCGTGAACTGCAAACACAAGGAAATCAATCTGGCTTCAGACCTGGTCGTGGCTGCGTCGACCACATATTCACCATTCGTCAGGTTCTAGAACACAGGCATACTTATCGGCGTCCGACAATGGTGGTCTTTCTCGACTTAAAAGCAGCATTTAACTTTGTAGGCCGAGAGGTTTTGTGCCAGTGTCTGTCATCGAAAAGCGTACCTCAGAAGTACATAATCCTTGTGAAGGCTCTTTACTCAAACACTACCAGTCGAGTCAGAGCTTATGGCGAACTGTTGTCTGCTTTTGCAACCTCAAGTGGTGTCCGTCAAGCCTGTACACTTCCTCCATTTCTGTTTAACTTCATCATAGACCTACTGATGGAAATAACATTCTCGTCGACTGAATTCTCGGGTATTGATCTCCTACCAGGAGGTCCACTTATCGACTTAGAATACGCAGATGACATAGTCCTGTTTGGTGAAGACGCTGATAAAATGCAGAGTGTTTTGATAGTACTGAGCAACAATGCCAGAATGTTTGGGATGCGCTTCTCTCCCTCTAAATGCAAGTTGTTGCTTCAGGACTGGTCTGCGTCAACACCTGAACTAAGGATAGTAGGGAGTGAAGTAGTCGAACGCGTTGACAACTTCACTTATCTTGGGAGTCTGATCAGCCCTAGTGGGCTGGTATCGGACGAAATCTCAGCACGGATTCGAAAAACTCGTTTGGCTTTTGCCAACTTACGTCACCTATGGCGAAGGCGAGATATCCGTCTATCAATAAAAGTACGAGTATATTGCACGGTAGTTTTTTCTGTTCTACTATACGGCAGCGAAACGTGGCCATTAGGAGTAGAGGATATTCGTAAGCTACTAGGATTTGACCACAGACTGACAGATATCTTCATGTTTAAGATTTGTTTTGAACTGTGGGCTTATTGATTTCACTAGCTTAAGGATTATTTTACTTTAACTTGTTATCTTCGAAGAATATTAGCTCTTAATTCTCTTCAAAAATTGTGTTTCGTCTAACAATACTCACTTTAGATCTCACTATTTTTGGTGTATTAATTTACACACATTATGCATTTAGCACTTATTCTTTCAGTGTTAACGTATTTTAAAAATCAAATCTATTATGTAATTCCATTAAGCAAACTTCCGAAATATTTTATTGAATTTTTATACAGATGGAAGCTTGTACCGCAAAGCTACGTACAGTTTTACAAGAGGAGTTAAGTCCAAGAGCTTTGCTTTTATCGGCTGCTCAGTTAATTAAAGAGAAAAATATTGATAAAGCAGTTTTACTCTTGGAAGTAAGTCGTTGTATGAATGCCATGTTACTCTTCGTAAAGATTTCTTGTTTCGTTCCATAAACCTAAAGTTCCACCCACCATTTCATTAGTATCCTGTTGCTTTTTATCGATTTTTGGCAAACCTTTTTTCACAGTAAATGTTTCTGGATGTTTTGGAAATAAATGATTTAACTACAAACGCATCAAATACTTACTTCATGTATAGTGTAATGAAAATCGTAACTAAAGCGAATTTATACTGACCGTCTATACGAAATATTTTTTTTATACCTAACGACTTAAATAAAAATTGAACTTTAGTCTGTTACATTAACACTTTTGGGTTCTAGTTGATTGGATAAATAAGTGATCCTGAAACATTTCATTACTTGGCATATCCTAGTTTTCCTTTAATCACATGTTACTTATATTACACTGTCATCAGCACTTTCAGGTCTACACTGAATAAGGATAAACCACAGTTTTCTGATGAAAGCAAATGATGAAATCGATTTCGGTTCACTATTCAATTCCAATCAAACAGATAAAGTTTGAAATCTTTAATATGCAGATCCCCTTTTCAAGTTTAATTATGACATATATTTTTTAGGCTTCACATATTATTGGAGTACTGTGGAAATTAGCACATAAAAGAGGTACTTCTGGTGGTTTTTACTGTGAATTATTATTATTTTGTTAAAGTGTAGTGGCAAACACACAGATTAGCTTTCACTTGAGTATCTGTTAAGAACATGTGCCAATGTACACTTATTAAAGAAATACATGAATACTGATACAAATCGGCATTACAAAATAAATATACTCCACTCAAAGAAGAAAGCGATATTGAGAAAAGAGGAGGCGTACAATCTCAAAAAATAAACGACAGTTCAATGATTAATTCCCTGAGGCCTACTGCGAATAATGCCATTGCATTAATTGTCCAAGTCTAGGGGTCGAATTACTGAGTGAAGAGTGAAAACTATCAATTTGATTGATCTACTGAATATGTGTATTCGATGTAACTATTAATGATGATGCAATGAGAAGTATAGTTGCCGAGTTATTTGGTGTTGATTTGGTTGTCAGTCAGTGGGAGTGCTATTTTACAGATCTTTATGGGTTTCCGTACGTGTTTTAAGATTTCAAATGAGCTGTTGCAAAAAAATATTTTGGTCGATTTCTGGTCAAATTTTAGGGTAAAGAAAGATTTCTAGGCAATAAAATTATTTAGCATCTATTCTTAGTAACCTAGACACAATAAGTTCTTTAATTTAAAATGAACATCAAACTAGACATCATCTGTGCTAATACTGATTTCTAACATGTTTTCACCTAATTCCTGTCGCTTTACCTTTAGAGTTATTTGTCCAATGTTACTGGTAATCAGGTAGATGCAGAAATCCCTTTAGCTTTGGCTCAAATAAATCTTCGCCGAATATCTGCAAATCATTTGGGAACCGGTAGTCCGCAACCTAAAAATGCATTAAATGTAGCCCAAATGCTTGAAAACATTCTTCCCCAGCACTTAATTCATTCTCCTGGTGTTTTGTCAACACGGATCGCTTTATATCTTTTAGCGAGCTCTGGTGAAAATGCTGTACAAACACGTCCCGATAGCATGAAACAAATAGTCAATTGTATTGAATCAACCCTTCATTATTATGAAGAGTTAGGAGAACAGGTAATTCTCTTCCCTATATATAATGAATTGAAGATAATTTCCGAATCAACTTGTTGATGTTTTCCAGTCCGAACTTTGATACTTGTATCTTCTACTCTTGGTATTCATGTGAAAAACAAAAATGGGTGAAACTTGAATATTAGAAAGTTTATTACTAAATGTATTCGTGGTTTGTCATTCTTCGTCTTTTATGATTTGATTGTTGTATCTCATATGATTTTGTACATCATTTATTGAGTTCATGACAGTCTAAATGCAGCTCGAGAAGTTTTATTATCATAGGTGAAAAAATGGATTTGACTGATATTATTTAAACTATTGGTTTCTATTCTCAGGACTTAAACTTCATATAAATATCGTTACAACTCTGAATGAATATGTAATGTAGAGTCTCTAATTATTGTTCTAAGGCCTTTAAAACCCAACATTCGCACCCCTTTGAGTACTTTGTCAAATATCGTAAAGCGTCATTGGAACTGAACTATTTATTTTTGTTATCATCAGTAAGACTAACATTTGAATTCAATTTTAACTTGTATTAAATTTTCCATTTGTTGGACTTCTTTGATGGATACTTTTATGCGACTTAAACTATGGTTTTCTGGATGGATGTCTTCAGAATGAAACTTATTCCCATTTGTTGGATAATTGTGCTGGATTTCTTCTGCAACAAGGTGAGGCAAAACTTGCGGCTGAAATTCTTGAAAAACAGTTAGCCCGACTTGAATCAAACGTTTCTCAAGAAAAACAAAATAGTTTAATCAAACAAGTACTGGTAGCTCGTTTGGTACGTGCCTACGCACAGTTTGATCGTCCTAAAGCCGAACAAACCTGTAAATCATTACAAGCTAAAGAATCCCTCTCAGAGGCTGATGTAGATACTTTGGAAACTACATTTTTATATGGAGCAAAGTCTTTAAAACGGCTTGGCAAACCCAGTGAGCCAACGGATATTTCAGACAAGGGCAAGTCAAAACGAAACCAAATAAAAAAAAACATTTCTAAGTAAGTGTTTGAACTTATATATTCATTTAAAAACTTAATTATCCAAAATCTTGGCATACTCAAGGCAATTGATTGCTTTATAACCAATTAATGCTAATTGACGCATAACCAATATTGGGTAGTGTAGTGTACCAGAGTTATTCTTGAGAATTTTTACTTGTAAGTAATTGTGGATTTTAGAGAATCTTCATAAAATATTCTTAGTGTTGTTACCTTGAAATTTCTTCCGAACAATAAATTCAATCAAAGGACAAACAGTCAGCTCGTGAGAATCGGTCATTGGTATATTTTGGAGCTAACAAGCAAATTGAAAAGAAATAACTGTCTCAACTTATTTTATCGAGTCTTCTCTTGAGCTGATAAAGAAGTCGTTCAAAGAGACCGTCTGTGGTCCTCGTTGAAAGGAAATTAAAATGTAAAAACCTATCTAATTACCAAGTTGAAAAAATGTAAGATATTTTTTGTATTTCACCAGTAATTATATATCGATGCCTAATCCAATGGAAAAATGAATTGCTGTGAAGTTCTAAATTTCTCTACTATTTTGCAACTTTGCTATTTGTTTCTTATTTCCTCATCCACAGAGTTTTATTGTAAAGTTTGTTTCCTAATTACAATCCTCATTTCAGTTTCAGGACCAGTTGTTTATTATCACACTCAACATTTAGGACGGTTATATTTCAACTTGTTTCATCTATATTACTGTCTGTTAGTATTATTAACACTCTGAAATACGGATTACATTCAGAAATGAAACATAATTGTACGTGGGAAAAAATCGAATTGCCCCGTAAATTTACATCAAACAATAATATTGAAAATAAGCTCCAAAATATACAGTGTAGTACTCAAAAGCTAATAAATTAGCAACTTATTAGTGTTGTGTAAGCTGTTATAAAAGTCCTTGAGTTATATTTTATATGGATAAATTTTTCGTGGGTTGCTAAAACGAGCTAAATCTGTTGAATAATTAATCCAGTCAATGCTCTATTAGTTAGTTCAAAAGTGACTGATACTAGAAATATATAACTTGTCAGTAGAAAAACTGAGTAGGCATTCTTTATTGACCTAGTACTTAATTTATTGCTCAACCTTATTTTACATTAAACTGAGATTGAATATTCTAAACAACTTCGATATACTGAAGATTAAGGTCATGAAGTTTTGAATGGTTGATCAGAAATTTTTAGTCACCAACCATTGTATTCTTTGCTGTTGTGTATATTAATTGTGTACTACTGTAATTCTACTTTTTTAAAATTTTATTTATCAGTACTCCTTCCTCAGATCCTGGTGTGCAGCAGGTTACTTCACGTTCTAAGCGTAAAAAGAAGAAGATTCGCCTGCCCAAGAATTATCAGCCAGGAGTCATGCCTGATCCTAATCGTTGGTTACCCCGACGAGAACGTACTCACTATCGTGGCAAACGTCGTGACAAGCGATTTGCTCCTACACGTGGTCCTCAGGGTCAAATAACTGGAGAAAGTGAATGGTAGGTGCTGTTTCCGTCATATTTAGTCTGTTTATTTAGTTTTCGCGCTCGTTACTTCTCACTTATTAACGCGCTATTTTTAACTATTAAAATATTGGTACTAATTCATGTATATACGTAACCATGTAGGCAACGAATTCTACCAAAACAGTCAAATCTTCTGATATCTTGGAATTGACCATTTTAGTGTATACTTTTATGAGCACAATAATTGTTAAATGCCGGCCCAGAGATTTGGATGTTAAGCCTTCGCGCTCGAGATCGAAGTTCTGGTTTCGATTTCTGCGTGCGGGGAGGTGATGCTCATTGCTGAGTAATATACTAGGACTAAACGGCCGTCCAGTGATTCCAAGTTTTCAACGGTGGTCTAACATTGATCTGTTCATGATTTCAGTGAGGCTCAACAATTTCTACAACCCTATACTGACAATTAAGTCAGATTGCGAAACCTTATCTAGCTACTATCTTAGGTAGTATGAAGACGACAGAAGTTACTCTTGTTGGTGAAAAAGTCCCACAAGTTATTTACTAAGATTTTAATCAGTGATGTTCCTGCGAAACATTAAATACTATTACTAGGCTAGGAGGAGCCTGTCCCTCAACCCTGGGGTGAATCGCTGGTGTTTGTTTAGCACACAGTGTCAATTGAGATTTAGATGGTAGTTGGAGGTAGTCAACAGGAAACCCTGGACCCGGGTTTCGTGCTATTTGGCACTCGTCAGCAAGGTGTACCTGTAATCTTGAGGGAACTGGTGCTCCCTGGCGGATTCGATCTCGTGTCACCCAGCTTCACAGTCAGAGACGTTACCACTGAGCTATTCGATAGCATTCGATCTGCACTAATAAGGACTAGACAAGCATGACATTGATCACCACCCAGTGATCAATCAATTGTGATTACATCTCAGTCCTACAGGAGGTTAGTCACGGCTCGGATAGCTCAGTGGTAACGTCTCTGACTGTGAAGCTGGGTGACACGAGATCGAATCCGCCAGGGAGCACCAGTTCCCTCAAGATTACAGGTACACCTTGCTGACGAGTGCCAAGTAGCACGAAACCCGGGTCCAGGGATTCCTGTTGACTACCTCCAACCACCATCTAATCTCAATACATAGTGCCCGCAGTGTCGAGTCACCTAGACTGGTGGCCACATTGCAACATGATCGATAGCATTCGATCTGCACTAATAAGGACTAGACAAGCATGAGATTGATCACCACCCAGTGATCAATCAATTGTGACACAGTGTCAATCTACGTACAGTGGAAGCCAAAGTAGCTTATCCCCATTCGGGTCAACTTTGGAGACATCTTTACGTTATATTAACCGTAAAAGGTTCGGTTTACGTGTCAATTAGAGTAGTTCTGCTCTTTTTCCATGTAACCTGACCTCTCAAAGCTGATGTGCAGTGTCTCTGTGTTGCATTATTGATGATATCCAGTGGCAACATAGTCTTAGTCATGTAATACCTGACAATGGGTATTTTGGACATGGGTGATAATTCAAATGGTGTCATCGTCGTGGGACATCAACTTCAGTAACTGGTTCGTGTTCTACGAGCTCCATTTCACTGACTTCTACATCGAACATCGTTTGTTGAATCTGACAGTTAGTGGAAAAAGCGATGTGATGGTCAATTTATGAAATGGCGCTGTGGCAAGGAGATAAGACTGTGATTTGTCGGTTTTTAGAGAATTTGGAACTCAATAGTTTAAGATGTTATTAGATATGGCTCAAAATGGAAGTCCGTAGTAATTCAATCCTGATTTTCTTTCACACTACAAAAGTGAAATCAACTTATTGGGCTAAGATAAGTCTTTCTCGACTATGTTGCTAAGTAAACCATAATTCTCATTAAATGCGACTCTTGTTTATTTATTTGTTGATTTTAGTAGGATTCGTTTACTTAAACAACAAACTATGTGTATTGTTTTTTATTCACCTTAGGAGTTTTGAATTTAGAATTATTTATAAATGCACATAGAATAACCAAATACATAATAATTTTATCATAAACTATTCAATTGTAGATTCATCTATACATAAATTTAAATTTAGAAAAAAATTTCATTTTAGGGATGCTGCTATACGTAGTCCTAAAGTCAAAGTTCATGAAGACGGTTCAGCAGGATCTACTCCTAAACAAATGTCTAATACAGCTAAACAGCAACAAAAGAAAGGTCGTAAGAAAGGCCGATAATATTACCAAGACTAAATAAAACAACAGAGTATCTAATTAATCTGTAATTTTTTGATCGTGTAATATATATAATGTATTGTGCATCTATGTACATGTTATTTGTACTGTAATATTTCTTTTTGGTTCAAATTCTGGAAACATTTGTATGTATACCTAGTGAAATATATTTGTTTTTATTAGATAATTCCGTTTGACAGTATATTCTTAATAATTAAAGCATCATTTTCATGGGTTACAACCTTTAATTTCTTATCATTTATTTATTATTCATTATAAGTGTAGTGGTTGTTAGTCTTTTTCATTATACTTGTTCTTGGAAGGTTATTTCTTTTTTTTCTTCATTGTATCACTACATATTAATTTGGTCTTTATGAATTATATTTTTATTTGGTATTCATGAGTAAGAATTAACAGTGTTACCACTTCCTAATATTGTTAAATATGTGTTTCTTTTATTTAAAATTATGGTTTACCTCTAAAATAATGTAGAGAAGGAAAAAAGTACTTCTGTGTACATCTACGTTAGAGCGTAAACACAGTGATATTATCTTGTTAGAATAATGGTATACGAGAAATGTGACTATATTTTAAGTAATCAAAAATAAATACTGATTGTCTGGGAATTATTATCTTTGATTAATATTATTTAAGGTAAATAATGTGATTGATTTGAGGTATACTCTTAGAAAAAATGTATTTAATTTTAATTAGGAAAGTGTGACTGATAAATGGAATAGCAATGCTGACTAGCGTTGGGGACTGTTGGAAGAAAGTTAGGGGCGGTCAAACCAAAACGTGGCATCAGTCCTTGAAGTCATTAACTTTTAGTCTGGGCCATGTTGGTAGATACAGACTACTTGGTTGGGGTCCACACGACTATCGTAACCAATGGTTGGAGACTCTTGGTGACGGCTCAGAATCTATCACAAAGGAGTCAGTGTATACACTCTTTGTCTTCCCTTAAACTAAGAGATTAAAATCACTTCATATCTTTCTTTCTATGAACTAATTCTTTCTTCCTGAACTATATCCTTATTGCAATCTTTCTTTTATATATTACCACCTCTGAATTAACTAATTCTATGAATCCGGTGTTCATCTTGTTATGCTAATGAGGTATGGCAACTTAAACCTATGTGCCTAGTCCTACGTTGTAGCTGACTGATAATAGCAATAGTGTAAAATAAACTAAGGCAGAAAAATCTGATCTATTAATAATGGGTAAGGGGATTAAGAAATATTCATGAATTATTAATAATGGATACGGTTGTTTTAAGGTAAATAAATTTAGCGTATTTGCAATGTAAACATTACAAAGGATGCTGCTTTACTTAAAAGTATCTCATTACCTGAATTCATTGTGAAGTGCTTTTATCTAAACAATTATTAGTATTCATTATGTAGTTCCTTATAGGTAGCCTATTAAATAGTTATTAAATCTATAATAATTATATCCAAGAGCTCATAATTCAATTACCAAGGTTATATAACAATCATTTGTATATCTCTAGACTACAAAACTAATCGAAAGTGCAGATTTCTTTGTATATACAGAAAGAAGCTTTGGGTCCTACGATGCGATTAAATCGCATACATTAACTTGTTCAGAATTTGATAAATCTGACGTATTCATTTTTTTAATTAGTTCCAAAAGGTAGAAAGGTTTGATGACTGTACATTCAAACTACCAAACCGCAAAAAAACAAATAGAATTATATTACATAAGCAGCTAGTGCATTTTTAAAGCTGAGTAATTAATTCATTAGTTAACTATCCGTAGTAAGAGATCGAGCAACAATTATTTAGTTTAAAGATAAGGGTGAGAACATGTCTTGAGAGGAAAACGTTTATTCAAATCGATGATAATATATGGGACTGGGTTGCACGGAGTTGAATGGTGCGGATCAACAATAAAAGTATAGTTCAATATGTACCTTATACGTGTATTCGTCTGAGGACATAAAAGCTATTGAAATGTCTAAGCAGTGTGAATATAATCTGTCCATTCAAAGTCTATTAGTCCACACATCAAATATAGACAAGTTATCTCAGAAAGCTTCATAATTTCCTATTTTATCTTCTTAATAGCTGTGGATAGGAATTCCAAATTGTTGAATTTCTTTTGGTTGGCCACTGTTTTAGTAGTAAAATGAATCAAAATACATGTTCACTTATATCTTTAGACTTCACGATACATTTGGGTTACGCACAAATTAATTGGTTACATTTGTGTGTATGTTGTCTAATCTCGTGTAAGTGGAATAATATTTTGCTAAGATATACATAACAATATCTCTCAAACCAGTCAGTTGCAACTTAGAACCCGGTAGTTATGTACATTGATTCAAGTTATCATGCCCCATTAACACAGAAATAAAATTGTCAGGGTAAATCCCAATATCATAAAGGTGGTAATAGTAAAGATCAGGCATCGAAGATAATCCAAGAATATAAATTAGTAAAATAGAAACGAAAACGCGTGAGGAATTCAGAATCTTAGAATTTGGGGGTAGGCAAAAAGTGGATGCGCTTGCGTCACTGCAAACGATTTTAGGTCTCTAAACATTAGACATGATAATCTCGTGAACCCCAGCCAGGTGGTCTATACTTAATAACATCCAATTGTCAGTGACTTGGACCGATGCCATGTTTTGGTTAGGCTGCCCCTAGCTACCTTCCACACCAGACAACAGTCGTTGAGGTAGGCGGTGGTTAGGCATACGTAACACATGTCCCGACTACCTCAGTTGGTGAAGATTTACTACCTCATCAATCGATTTTTCATCCTTACCTTGTACCATATTCCTGACCCACATTACTTACTCCGTGGTTTCGAAATACACGAGCAGTGCTTCGAAGAGACTTATGATCGAATAATGGTAACCTATGAGTATCATCTATTGTTAATGGCCATGTTTCACACTTATAAAGTAGAACAGACCGAACTGCTGTGCAGTAAACTCATCCTTTGGTTGGTAGATGGATATCTTGCATACGCGACAAATGACACAAGTTGGCAAAAGCCAATCAATCATTCCGAGATTTCGTCAGACATCAGGTCTAGTGAGACTCCCAAGGTAAGTGAATCGGTCGGTATGTTCAACAATCCCAATTCCTATAATTAGTTTAGACGCCTATGCAAGTCAATCCTGAGGTAAAATTTTGCATTTAGAGGCAGAGAAACATCCCCAAACACAGTTGGATTGTTGCTTAAGATGATCAAGAGACTGTATTTTTTCAGTGTCTTCAACAAACAGAACTATATCATTTGCGTATTCCAAGTCAGCAAGTGAATCTCCTTGTAGAAGATCAACCTCTGGAAAACCAGATGATAAGTCTTATCTCTACTAGCGTGCCTATGACAAAGTGTGGTATATGTACCAGCTAATGATTCCTTTGTACTTGATTGCTTATTCCAAATATAATACGTTCATTTGTGCTCATCTAGTTCTGTCTGCCTCAAATGGCAGTATCTAGAGAATTCCTAGTTAGCACATTAATTCGAACAGTTCTAATTATTATATTGGTGTTGTGATGGAGCCAAATATTGGACAGTTGGATATTAATTCAAATGGGATGATTATATGGAGTGGTTCGTATTCTGCCGCTTGACTAGAAAAGACATTAAATATAAATTCACAGCTTATCTTCTGACGTTCATAGGCAAAGCCCATAACTTGCTAGAGAATCCGGCTTTTCCAAAGAAACTGATAAGATTGCCATTCAAGGAGTTACTACTTAATCATGTTCAGTGTGCTGGCTTTGAATGTAGAGAGATAGAAGATTCACTATATATATATATATATATATATATATATATAACTTCCAGTAATTCACTTCATATTCAGAAACGATTACACCTGTCCAATGGTGCTTTTCACGATTTCATTGTCCACACTGGAAGTTTCAAATCCGTCATTCCAGGTGGAAAGGTGAAGTCATTAAATCCCGATGCTATAATTATCCCTACCAAAGGTTATATTTCGAGTATTATTTGTTATAAAATTCCTATTCTCGAGTGCTGTATTTGCTGATTAGGACGACAAATCTTCAATCCTAAATTGTGAATTCCTCATCACTGATTGTGGACCATCTATCCTGGGTTTAGAAAATCTAAGGATGCCTCGAGGACAGATTTTCTTACTGACCACTGAAGATTATTCTAATGAAATGCTTGATGACTTGTTAACTACAGAATCGAAGTTCGAAAGATTAAGTACGACTGCAAAGTCCTTTCATTCTCATGCGCAAGCTAAAAATGTCGAGAACTTGAAAACAAACGTCATTTCTATTACTGCTGCAAAATTCAAAGACCCGACGAGAGTAGATAAAGTCTTGCACTGAAGAATCGCCAGACTATACGCAAAAGAAATAATGATAAAATTGCTTAAACAAAAAGAATCTTCGTCCAATTAAGGAACGTTTAGTCCGTCGATGTTACATACTATACAGAAGCTAATTTCCCACAATCTACGAAAGGTCTACTAAAAAATGTTGATAAATCTGTGGTCTATGTGCAAGCCAGTCACAATAACGCTTCTCCAACCGACCTTTTTGGCATGACAGGATCTAAAGGAACATGCAATCTAGCTAATGTATCTCGATTGAGTCATCAAGATAGGCGAGGCCGACCACTACGTTAAATTAGCAGCTAAGTTCGGGGTGCAGCTAGCAATACTAATCTTAATGCAGCCTTCTAATAAAATTATTATTGCTTGCTATTTCCCGTTTTTCTTATGTTTTCAATTTTTACTCTCGATATGAGGTGTGGGATCTTGCACTGATACACCCTTATACCAGGTCCTACATAGCTGATGACTGACAAGCACAAGTAAAAGAATTGCATCTCATTACATTAACAATGGGTTCATTCGATAATTTACCAATGAATCTCCATAAACGAATATAGCGGCACCAAACTATATATATACACGTGACTAAAACAGGAAGTTTATACTTTAATCTATCGACGAAACCTTCAGTTGCATTAAAACTGCATTTGTTGATACGCCCACCTAATTACTTTTTAAAACTTCTAGAAGTAAAAGTTTGTTACGTCTAGAATATAAGAAGAATCGTTGAAATTAGTGGTTATATTACAGAATATAATTGCTAATACAAAAATATAAAACATGATAAATAAACATCTAATGAATAAATTCAAATGCGAAGTATTACAATACAAGTCATATAATTAGTAAAATATATGATTTGAAATTAAATAAAACAAGAGAATGAGCAAAGGTGTCAGAGATGATTAAGAATTCGAAATAAGCATATTCATTTCAACACTATGACAAAACAAATGTTTAGATAGGAATATTAAAGTAAAGAAAACGACGGTAGTTTCAACTCATCGGTGAGCATACCAGCATTGCACTCAAAGTGTAACAGTTCTGTAAGCTGTTTAATTGTCATACTCATCAATTGAGCTCTATCTTCACTGGGTCCAGCTACTCCTAAACTAGTGGAGCTTGTTCGTCGTATACTAGCGCCAATCATACATTCTGTGTCAAGATTATAAGGACCAACGTCTGTGTTTCGAGAATGTGATGCATGTAATGCTGCTTCAATGCTATCCTTTACTAAGAACCGATGAACAACTCCGGGTCTAAATAGAAT